ACGCGAACCACCGCATTGCTGCTGACCTAAAAAAATTCTGCTTAGTATCAGAATTATTCGACAGCATTGAGCACCTGCTAAATGACGTAAAAGAAACGTTGGCAGTAATAAATAAAAACAATAATAACATGTGCAGCGCGGTCGGCCAGCATATGAAAACGTGTGATTCACAAGCGCACGCGACAATAACCGGCATCAACGAATCAAATTCGTTGATGTCACAAAAAATTACAAAATTACTTGACGAACGGCTATCAAGCTTATCTAATGACATGGCACTTTCAATAAAAGGGGCCGAATCATCACCTCATCATCATCATCCAGAGCCGAAACTTCTGGAAATTCTTGAGGAAGTGAAATTTGTATCTGGGGTTGTTTCTAGTCTTCAGATAAATGCTGCAGAACCTCATCAGAAGACCTTGGAGGAAGAGTTAGCTGAAAGTCCTCCAGTACACAAAAATACAATATCTCCAAAAACTGACCATTCATCTCCTGGATGGCGGTTTTTAGGCAACAAATGGCACTGGAAGCAGGACTGGTCTAAATTTGACGCAAAACAACGGACTCGCAGGTTGCAGGAAAAAGCTGCTGAAAAATCCAAACGCAGCAGAAAACGACGAAAACAACAACAAATCCACACCAGCAGTACCAAAAACATCATCCAAGGAAATGAATACAGCCGCGCCAAGGGATCGGACAAGCAACTACTGGCCACAGCGAAAGTACAATTTGCTGGTCCGCCATTGACCACCGACCACCCAATTGCAGCCCTCTCGGTCCCAAAATTCATCAACTTCAGGAAGGGTGAAACCATCAACCAATACCGGACAGAAAAGCAGGTACAACACAACAACAAGACTGAAACGCCGTCATCATTGCAATCAAATACAAATACATCAAATCAAACATCTGGATGGTCACTCGACCCTATGCGCCCACCCATCGTAAGCTTGACGCAGCAATCAGCTGATGGGGACGGGCGTTTCCTGAAAGCACGACTACGGGACACAAAAATAATGTACATCGTTCGCCTTTATTTGGCATATATGCATGACAAGGAGCCATCGTTTTGCCATGAAGGAATGACCACTACTAGCATCAAAATTAATTTGGCATCCGAAGGACTACCGACCTCAGCGGAGGAACTTAGGAAAATCTTTTTCGAGGTGCATGAAGAACATGGTGTACCAAAACAGGCGGCATCTGACGATTTGGAATCCTATCGGCGTCATCTTAACAACCAGAGGATCCAACACCTGCAGCGTATAAGGGAAAGCGCCGACAAATTTCACAACCCGAATTTTCGGAAGCAATGACTCCTTTCGACGAGAAAGAGGTAAATAATAATACCAATGAAAATATTTTATCAACCGACGTACTTCCAAAAATCTCTTCACATAAACAGAATGCGACTGAAATTTTGATTTACTGTCAAAATTTCAATCGCATGAAAAGCCCAGCTAAAATGAAGGAAATCTATCAAAATTTATTATGCTCATCCTTCTCGGTCATTCTGGCAACTGAAACAAGCTGGGACGAAAGCGTGAAAAGTGAAGAAATCTTTGGAAATGCTTTTAATGTATTCAGAGACGACAGAAATTTTCATGCAACTCAGAAGAAGTCAGGCGGTGGAGTCCTTATAGCTCTTTCGGCCAATTTTAACTCAGAAATTATCTTTACACCAAAATTTACAGAATTTGAGCATATTTGGGTGAAATCACACATTGCCGGTGAAACGCACGTGTTCGCCTCAGTGTATTTTCCACCAGACCATGCTCATAAAAGCACTTATGAAGCCTTCTTCCAAAGTGCTGAACAAATTCTATCTGAGCTTCCTCCTGAGGTTAAAGTTCACATCTATGGAGACTTTAATCAACGCCATGCTGACTTCATTCTGGACTCTGAAAATGAATGTATCTTACTCCCAGTCGTTGGGGATAATGAAACATTGCAGTTCATTTTTGACAAAACTGCTAATTTAGGACTGAACCAAATTAACCACATCAAAAATCAACAAAATTGCTATTTGGACTTTTTACTAACGAATATTTATGAAGATTTCTGTGTGACCGAATCATTAAACCCATTGTGGAAAAACGAAGCGTTTCACACAGCAATTGAATATTCTTTATTTGTACACGAATACCAAAGACCCAACGACTGCGAATACGAGGAAGTCTTTGAATACAAATTAGCAGACTACGAAAAAATCAAACATAAATTAAACAGCGTCAATTGGCAAATAATTCTAAGGAATGAAGGAAATGTCGAAACTGCTGTAGACATCTTCTACCAAATTTTATCAGGAATAATTTTGGAAGAAATACCTTTGAAGAAAAAAAGACGCTACAGAAGCACAAAAAATCCAGTCTGGTATAACAGACAAATAAAAAACTTAAAAAATCGAAAACAGAAAGCACATAAACATTACAAAAAACACAATAATAGTGAAAATTTGGCTATCTATCTGGACTTATGCGATCAACTAGATTTAGCCATCAGTAATGCATTTGAAGAATTTAATTCAAAAACTGAACTTGAAATAAAGTCCTGCCCAAAGAACTTCTTTAATTACGTAAAAACCAAATTAAAATCTGACAATTTTCCATCAATAATGCATCTTGACGAACGTGTCGGGGATACCTCGGAAAAAAATTGTAAGCTTTTTGGAATTTTTTTTCAAGAAATCTATACGACATTTTCCGATGAAGATCGCGACCGCGATTATTTTGCATTTCATCCAGAATTTTCAAGGGACATTGGCGTCAATCAACTTCAAGTGCAGGATATTTTGCAGGCTTTAAAGAATTTAGACGCCTCAAAAGGTCCTGGACCTGACGGAATTCCTCCAGTATTTTTAAAAAGTCTAGCAATGGAACTCACTGCTCCATTGTTTTGGCTTTTTAATATGTCACTGGAATCCGGAACCTTCCCTAAAATATGGAAAAGCTCATTTTTAGTACCTATTTTTAAATCTGGCCGAAAATCTGACGTACGTAATTATCGTGGAATAGCCATTATCTCTTGCATTCCAAAGCTTTTCGAGGCAATTGTAAATGAAAAATTATTTCTTCAAACCAAAAATAGAATTACTGACATGCAACACGGCTTCTTTAAAGGACGTTCGACCTCGACAAATTTACTTGAATTTATAGACTATTCATTAAATGCAATGGATAATGGAAACCACGTAGAAGCTCTCTATACAGACTTTAGCAAGGCATTTGACCGAATTGACATACCAATGCTTCTTTTCAAATTGAAAAAAATTGGAATTGAGCCAGGACTCCTGAAATGGCTTGAATCATATTTAACTAACCGCCAACAAATAATTAAATTCAACGGAAAGAAATCGACCCCAATTCAAGTCACCTCAGGAGTCCCGCAAGGCTCTCATCTGGGACCTCTTCTTTTTATTCTGTACGTAAACGACATTTCCTTCATTCTCAAAAAAATAAAATTGCTAATCTATGCCGACGACATGAAGCTCTTTTTGGAAATAAAAAATGATGAAGACATCAATATATTCCAGAGTGAAATACACATATTCTACACATGGTGTAAAAAAAGCCTATTAGAACTGAATGTAAAAAAATGCAACTTAATATCATTTAGCAGAAAAAGAACACCATCAAACATTTCAATTGCATTAGGAAATCAGAATGTAGAAAAATGTGAAAGAGTCAGGGATTTAGGGATTATCTTAGACTCCAAACTAACTTTCATAGACCATTACAATACAATTATTCACAGGGCAAATAACATGCTAGGCTTTATCAAGCGCTTTTGCTATAACTTTCAGGACCCATACACAATTAAAACACTATATATTGCCTATGTGAGGTCAATACTGGAATATTGCAGCATTGTATGGTCTCCATTTTCAATCACGCACGAAGAAAGATTAGAATCAGTACAAAAGCAATTTCTATTATATGCCCTTCGTAAATTAGGTTGGACATCATTTCCTCTTCCATCATATGAAGCACGCTGCATGCTTATAAACATACAAACATTAAAAGAGCGTCGTGAATATGCAATGGTTTCGTTTGTAAACGATATCGTTTCGCAGCGCATTAACTCAGCAGAACTTTTATCAAAATTAAATTTTTATGTACCTACTCGACAACTCAGAAATCGAAATTTATTTGCCGTAACCCATCATCGCACAAATTATGCAAAATTTGGGCCATTAAATCGCATGATGGCGTCTTACAATCAATACTGCGAAACCATTGACTTTTCAATGTCTCGGCATAAACTAAAACAATATTTTAACTCCATACGGAATCATAACTCGTAGGAAGTAAAAATATAATAGCTGACAATATATTTTTTAATATTCTTAAGAAAAACAAATTTGTATATGTATTTGTACTAGTCTACATCGGTTGATGAAATAAATAAATAAATATGCGGTGGGTGGTACCATCAACTCACCGCTGTTTCTCGGCTGCCCTTCAACCAATTACGCTGATTTTGTGTATGAGATTAGTGTTAACCATAAGCTATTTATATAAAAAATCAGCTCAGTTGGATGAACGACAACCGATAAATAGTGGCGGGTGAACGGTACCACCCACCGCCTAAATGGATGGGTTATATACATTAGATAAACCGCATTAATCGGGAGAGCACTGCAGATTAAATCTTTCTACTCACAAAGTTTCACGTGTTCGTTAAAAAATCATCACCCAAGCTTATCTTTTCCCAACAGCATCAAAGCATGCATTATTCATTATAGCAAAAGCTTGATCATACCGGAAAGCTCATAGAGCTTTTCATCTTAGTTGGTAACGAAAAGACCATTAACACCAATACAAACATATCTGCTACCAACGAAAAACATGATCAGGGGTACAACAGCAAAGCCCACGTCCGTCGATCGTCGATCGCGACTGGTTTCGTTTGTTGTTATGTGTGGAGGTTGGCAGTATAGCTAGGTAGGTAGGTGGGTTTGCTTTAATACTCTGAGCAACTCTCTTCTCGCTGTCATCGCGCATTCCACTAACTGCTCAGTTTGCTTGAGGTGGCCGCGAATGACGGACGCGTGTGGAAACCGTAAAGACCGCGAGCGCGCGAGTTTTAGTGAGAGTTGACATCAACGCAAAGGGAAGAAAGGCAGCTTGTGGTGGTGTCGTGTCGACAAGGTTGGAATTTGGGTGAAGCCTAAAAAATCGAGAATTCGGGGATTATTTCTTATGAATCTCATGAAACTTAGAATGCTTTAAACAGAAATGCAAGAAAAATTTGCCGTTCTTAGTGACAGTGATGTGAATCACCAGGAAAACTAATCAAAAGCTACATGTTTTGTTTCTGAGTATAAAGGGTGGTGAAGTGTGGGCAATTCCGTAGTGTCATAGTGGAGGAAAATTGTGACTTCTGAAGGCATAAATTTGCTGCTCAAGTTCAACTACTTGTTTTTATATTTGTCAATTTACTGCCTTGCGGAGGTGTTGTGTTCGGTGTGTTGCTTGAGGAAACAAGTTTGGAGGCGAAGAATTTCCAATTTGGGAAGCGGATGATATTACACACATATGAACCACGGCGAAGGCGTCACAGTTGAGTGATCGGGTTTGAATTTAATTGTAACATTGCATTTATTGGTCATCGCTCGTTTTCAAGGAACCGGAACACATAGCTTGAGCGAGCAGCTTATCGACGGTTGTGTTAAAGAATACTTGGTTCAAGATATCCTGAAGCATGAGTTCATCAATCATATATTCTACACATGTGTCTTCCTGACTTCCTAAATAAATAGCGATTTAATCTTTTAAATGAAATTTATGAGTAATAAATACGTGTTCTATGTATACATAATATTTTTGATTTTCTTATTCACAGTTTCACATTTTGGTTGCAAGCACAAAATATAGTTTCTATAGTACCGTACATCGTGATTTTCTCCCCTCCGAAAAAAAAAATCAGTAACTTTTCAGGATGTGCTTCTAAATTTCTGAAATCATGGCTGATGGTAGACCAAATATTCAAGTTTTATCAGTATAGTCTTAGGCCAAAACCATTCAATTGTGCAAAGTTCGGTCCATTTTTAGTAGAACGCCTTTTGTGAGTACCCATTTAAAACTACTATTTCTTAAAATAAAGCATTTTCTCACCACGTAGCGCTAGTATGCATCTGAGTCACATGTATGTTCTATACCTACATAGCCTGACCACAAAAGAAGTTGCTATTTTTGACAAATTTATCATGTAACAAGTATAATTCATATGATGGAAAGATTAGTTCAAAGTTCACACTCTTCTGGCAATCTGGAAAGTTACTGTAATAGGCTAATTACAATGATCCTTATTTTTATGCTTATTCTGGTACTAGATTGCAGTTTCAGACCGATATTACCGGTGTGTTTTCTGTGATATTAATCTGGAATTTATTTCAATCTGGGATCATGAAACACAAATTATAATTCCTTTTTTATACTACACTGAGGAAAAATCAAACAAATATTTTCGTATTTCCACACATGGATATTTTTAACCAAATATTTTCAATATTTCGAACCCATTCATTCTATGTCTGACCATCACATACTTGTCATGGTACTCATGAATTTTATGCCTTTTTGTTGTGAGTCTTTTTACATTTATGTTCATGCTACAAAGTATGCGTACTTTAACCTGAATGTGGGGTCTTGGAAATTTGTATGTGGACAGATAGCCCAGTATCTTGAAAATCACATTTAATCAGAGTATCGAGTTTTGTTTTAAATATTCTATTTGTAATTTTGGAATGTTTATTTGCTTAAGGCTTTTATCAAGAAGAAAAAAAATATCTAAATATTATTTTTGATTTTATTATTTCTCCCATTTCAGTGTTTTGATTTATTTTAAGAAGCTGGAGTTATGATAATATTTTTAAGTTGGAGATCATCGTTCTAGTTTTGAGATCTTGAAAATTTATCCCTGAATAGGATCTTGAAAAGTTTTCGTGATCCGAAACCTTTGAGATTGAAATAAAGAAAACAAAACTTCAACTTTGTTGAATATTTCCCATAATTTGATTATTCTTCATGAATCCTAGAAAGAAAATGAAAAATATTCGAAGTTACATACATTAAAATGTAACAATAATAATCACTCAAAATAACTTATCTGCATGAAACTGCTTTTTCTATCATAAAATGGTTTATGAAACTTTTAGTTAGCTAGAGTATTTATTTGGCAGTAACATTAATAATTAATGAAATTTGATAAAATTCAACATCTATGAAAGTGTTACAAAATATTTCTAACCATCCAAGGGAGAAAAAAAAATCTATTACGAACGGACAAATGATGGGACTACACTGTCGATCAGACTAACTCAGAGAGAGAGAGAGAGAGAGATAGCCACTTTTTTTTCAATTGTAAGAGAAACTTCTAAAGACGTAGCTTACTCAGACAACTGAGTAAAAGTGATTCTCTCTCTCTCTCTGAGTTAGTCTGATCGACCGTGCAGCATTCGTCATCGATATGTAAAGCATCTTATAAAGCCTGACTAAAAGTAACTCTGGACGCAGGTTTCAATGCACTATCGCTTCCCTAACTATAAGAACCAGCAACTTTTGAAAACATTTTGTTTGTTATACTTTGATGTGAATCTGGTGATAATTTAATCAAAATTGATAAAACTGTTTCAAAGTTATAGACTATGGAACTTTAAATAAGAAAATTAATTATACAGAAACATCAGGAGAATCAGTCGTGGTCTGTTTTCAAGATAGCCAACATGTTTATCTTATTTTGTTATGGCATTTGTAAGCTGAATAAAAACCCTTCAATAACCCTTTTATAGAAGTAACTATGGTAGATTATGCACGAATACGGATTTCCAGATAAACCGATACGATTGGTCCAGGTGACGAAGGATCGAGTAATGTGCATTGTCCAAGTTTCGGGAACACTCTCGAGTCCCTTTGAACCTCGAAGAGGGTTAAGTGACAGCAAAGTGATGAGATTTCATGTCTGCTGTGTGATCAGAACCCGAGCAGAGGAACGAATATCAAGATAACTTAAATTGGTTGGGTTAGCCAAATTGCAAATGAAATATCAAAACAATACAACAGAGGTATTTTTTTGATATCCAAATATCATTTTTTGTAATTTACAAAGTATTTTGCATCTGCTTCACATTGGCGATACTATCAAACAATGAAACCACTGGAAGTGGCTCTCGTTCTGATGGAGAATAATACCATTGCATGTAATTTGCAAAATACTTTGTAAATAACAAAAATTGATATTTGGATACCAAAAAAATACCTGTGTGGTATTGTTTCGGTATTGAAATATCATAGGGTAAATTATGGCTTCGGCACCCATTGACTGTTTTCGGCAACCGAAATTGAAACGTTTATTTCACTGTATTTTCCTATCAAAACTCTTCGCTGAATGTATTAAGCCGATTCCTTAACTTTTCAGCTTCAATCTGATTACATTTTTACGACTGTGAATTCCTGTTATACCATATTTTTCTTTAAATGAAATATACATACTACAAAATACGGCTGATTTCGAGTTGCCGATAATAGAACAGCTGGTTAACACGCAGTTCAAATGGAAAGGGTGCCGAAGAAAAAGAGACTGCCGATAATAGTCACTCTCACCTGAGAAGTTTGGAGCGTTGTAAAAACATGTTCAACCCGTTTTGATCAATTCTGTCGATTGGAATTGGTAGAACAGCAAACAGCAGATAAATGTCAACAAACAAACCTGTCATGTATGTGTGTGACGCTGAGAAATCGCTAATAGAAGTTCGGACGCTGCTTAGATTGACGAGAATACGTAAATTCCCCTAATTTGGTATTGGAATGATATTGTGGGAACATTTTTTTTTTGTATTATTTTTTGGTATTTTACCTCTTATGTCAGGCTCATCCATACCTATTTAAGGCAGATATTCGTTCCTGCTCGGGTAGCATTGTTTGCCAATTCTTTGTATTTTTTTGCATATCTCGAAGGCTTCTCCTTAAATATATAACATGAGTCCACAAAGACAAAATAACACCTAAAAGAGTTTTTGAATTGGTATGAGAAGACCTTCAAAATAACAAACTATTGTATTCTGACATCTAAAAAAGCGTCTGTTATCCGTCTATTATTGAAATAACTAAATTATTTATTAGTTCGTATAGCAGGACATTTTTGAGGTATTATTTTTGGTATTTGACCTCTTATGTCAACCTCACTAATACCATATTTAGGTTGCCAGTTATGCTTCTTTCATAACTGAATTTGGTATTTATAAGTTATTTTTTCCTGATCGGGCACACACTTTTTAATTGAGATTTCTTATCCCATTCAATTTTTGAATTTGTGGTTTGTGTAGCAAACATAATTATACTCGACGTTTTCGAAAGTCGAGAACATTAACAAACCCGAGAGTATACTTTGAGCCAATCGTGAACCGAACTTACTAGGTTAAACACTATCGGTGGGATTTTTGAAATATTGAGAATTATATAATAACTGAGAATTGAAGATCAAAAAAATCTGGCAAAATTTAAGTATTTGCAATGTTTGAAAAGATTCAAATTCAGCTGCCCTAAAACAATATATATGCCAGTCGAATGAACGTGTCTGTGAGCGTTGTTCCATTTGTTGCATACCTTTTCTCGTCGGTTGAGTTGATTTGCTAGTGCTGGCCGTCAGTCAGTACTGTGTGTATCCATTCATAGACAGATTTGATGATCATCAGTGTTGCATTGGTAGCGCATGGGACACACCCAACGAAGATGTGAGTAGTCGGTAGGTATGTGATAAAATAAAACCATGGGTGGCAGGTGTTTTGATAAAAAGTTTTCACCGAGATGGAAAAAATGTCTTCACATATCTTCACCGCTTCTTTTCTAGGTGGAGCCCCCACTAATCACCAGGGAGGCTTTTCAATATGATTTTTTTTAATTGATGTTATTATTCATAATCATTAAATCATAAAAAAGAGGGTATACAGGGAGAATTTAATCCTTAATTGTAACTTAATAAATGTTCGGAATTAGGAAGTTAAAGAATCTTGAAACATTTATTAATTTTTAAATAATCCAAGTACCTACTAGAATTTACATGTTTTTATGTGCTATGATATTTTAAATGTCATAGAAATTTTCGAAGTCTGTAAACGCTACCGGGATAAATAATAATGTGCCACAAGCAA